TTTACGATCAATGAAGTTCAAAATCAAATCCTGACGCGTGACTCCAAGGGTCTGAGTGCGTCGCAGTTGGAGGATCTACGTCGTTGTTTCAATCACTTTGATAAGGACAAGAGCGGAAAACTCGACCAGGCTGAGTTCACCTCTCTGCTGGTTTCCATTGGTCAAACAATTGGCTCCGACGAGGACAAGCAGAAGGTACCGTTTGTTGGACCCAGATAAAGACAACTGTTTTTCAGCTGCGAATTGCCGTTAGTCATGGGGCGCACGACCAAAATTTTTTTTTGATGACTATTAGCGTCGCCTTGCCTGACAACTAGCCTGGTTAAGCTAGTCTATAGCATGTTTGCCATTCGTCATGCCCCTTTGCGGCATCGAAGTCCTGCATCGTGACGGGATTTTAAAATCTAATGAGTTTATGGATGAGTCATCCAGCGACTGTCGCGCGTTTTAAATTCACATGTTTTAGCACTAGAGGCACTCGGTCACTTCTTCTTAGCAGTTTGAAGTACACAGACCTTTTGCTAAGCCGATCTACCCTCGCTCCCACAGCGTGCGAAAATAATCGCCGTCGTGCAGCGAATAGAATTTTTATTCTAGCGATCGCATCTTTTCATAAATCGCACCCAGAATTAATGTAATTTGTGAAAGAAACCAGAACCTCGATCGAACAAATCACAAGACCGTGGCATGGAAAAAAACCCTTAGTTGACAAACGTTCTCATCAGTGATGGGAACGCCCTCCGGTTTCTTACAAGTGATATTCACTGACATGTCGCAATTGTAAATGAATGCTAAAAGCCACATGTGACAGGTCGGCTCTTGGATTTCCAATGCAATACGAAAACTCGCATTTTACTCCTTTATCCCGATAGACACATGGATGCCATTCTGACTACAAGCAGCCCCAGGGGCTAGTAATAATAGCTACTCGGATTCATTCCGGCAGTCTGTTCGAACAGAACTATTAATCAATCGATTGTCCCCTCACAAACGAGATTTGTTATTACTCGCTTCAGGATGAATCACCACACGCGCCGGCAAGGCACTATGATTCGCCAGTTTGGCGATCCGTAAATCGGTAGGAACGTGTACTAATCATTTCTTCTGAGACTGACTCCTATCGATCCGACTTCATTGATTTAGTCACCACTTTGTACATTATGTAGATGTAGATGTACACGATGCGGTAGATGTAATGACCTACTTTCGATTTTTCATCTACTCAGATATTTTCGGTAAGTAATTTTACCAGGTTTATGTGGGTCTCTGCGTCTCCTCTATCTCTCTTCTTGTACGATCTTTCTCTCCACCCTATCAACCTGTCCTCTTTTCCTCTGTTTTATCACATCCTCGCAGAAAGGCAAAGGACAGAGACAAAGTGTGGACATGGTACTACTCTTGTCACGTTGTTTAACAGTCTGTTTTAATCTTCTGTGTGTGTGTGTGTGCGTAGTTCGCTGTGCTCTCTGATCGTGTCTCCCGACTTCTCTTAACGACGCTCTTCCCTTTCGCAGCTCTTACTCCCCCTAATCAATAAGCGCTCTAATTCCTCCAAGTGGCTCCAAGTATCTAACATTGCCCGTCCCCGTTTCTGCATCAGTAGCGATAGTAGCCTGTGTGCGTAGCCAGCCACATGTTGATGCCTGTTTTATAGTCGTTTTTATTAGGTGCGTTTGCATGTGCGCATCAGGCATGTACAGACGAGTTTTGTTGCTATCTTCTCTAGTTTGCACTGTGCAATTCATTGCCGGTTGCACTGACTTTCAAATTCTCCCTGTGTGTGTTTGCGTTCCTACGAGAAGCATATGCTTGCTCTCTCCCCCCGTGTCACGTTTACTCTTCGGCGTTGTAGGGATAACATTAAAGTTCAAACCTCCTCCTACCCACTGTGCGCCACTTATATGTTCTAAAGAAGACAGCATGACT